CACATATCTGATGAAGAAATGGATAGGACCAAGACACTGAAGTAGATTACTGGAGTTAGCCAATGGAGCACACGAAGCAGCTACAAAAAGTGAAGAAGGACATTAAGATTAGAGCCATCATTCAGCCTCGGATGGGCCCTGCCTAGAAACAGGCAGATATTGTTCAGTTTGAGTCCAAATCAATTAAAAAACATATTTTTTAAAAAAAAATAAAGAAAAAAGAAAACATAGTTTGTGCCATTATTTATGTAACAGACATTAGGAAAAAGGAGAAAAGATATCTTAATATCACAATCCTAGATTCTAGAACTGGAAAAGACTTTGGTTCTAAACCCGATAAGCCCATTCACAGCTTTTTCTTCCCCAAGATGGCTCATCTTTCTTCTTTCTGTGTTTTCTTCACTGATATCAACTGGCTTTTATGGTAAATAGTAATAATTGGGCAGCAGAGAAACTTGTAACTAGCGTTGGCTTGCTTCCTGCACTCTCCCGAAAACAGTCCCTTACACGATGGACTCCTTACATGAGAGGGTGACACTGAAGTGGAACACTGGATTAAACTCTTGTAATCTCTGATCAAAACGATTCTATGCAATTAAAGCCATAGGAGTATAGATGTGAACCTAAACCGATGCTTCATATAACTTGAAATGTTTCCTTAGAGACTAAACATTTACATAATATAGAATAATTCTAATTATCATTAGCATTCACATAGCCTCTTTCCTGACTTGAGCCTCACACATTTTATATATGTAATAATTAATTCTTACAATAATGTTATGAAACTGAGAAGTAGCAAGAATTATTATAACCATTTTGCGAAGATAAAATCAGGGCAGGGAAATATAATGAGATTCGCCCAGACCAGAAAAAGTACGTGGAAGGCTATCATATTTCAATTCTTATTTAGGACTTTATTGAGTTCCATCCATATGCTTGGCTCTGTTAGGACGGTGAGTGTGTTGGTGGAATGGGGTGGGGTGGGGAGCTGGGGGTGGAAAGGGGGAGGTGCTTTGAATAACACAATACAAAGGCAGAAAAACAATTTTGGAGTCTGTGATTATAACTCAAGCTATAGGCACAGAAGTTCAGTTTTGCAATTGGACACAGTCTAGGAACTACAAACTAAGCTACATCTGCCTTGTCCCAGAAATCAGAGCTTTTCCTCTACTCACTTAAGAGGGAAATGGATGTTAAAGATAAAGAAAGTATTCAATTTTTACCTTCTGATAGGAGGGGAAGTATGAGGGACTCTGCCTTCTTAGGACCTGGGCTGAAATGAAACTATACACTCATACATTCCCTGATGATAGTGTCCGAAGCAGCAGCTCGTTATGCTCTGTTCCCTTGCCCTGCTTAATTATTCTTAAAAGCATTCTTTTTTCTCTGTATTTTGACCTTATTTTAATTAATGTTCTTTCATGCAGAACTAATGACAGCAAATATTTACTGAGTCCTTACAATAAATGTCTAACCATTATGCTGTACACCTGAAACTAAACTAAACTAAAAAAACGAAACATAGCATTCTTCAGTCACTTTTTATTTTTTTATCAATCTCCCCGACTGGAATGTCAGTTCCACGAGGGCAGGGCTTTTATTCATACTCATAGATATTTTTAGGGCCAATAACAGTGCCTGCTATCTAAGAGATATTCAAAAAATATTTGTTAAATAAATGAAGAATGCCTGACGGTTATAGTTCCAGTTCTGAGTTAGAGAACTTATGCCTTTTAGCTAGGGATGAGCCATATGACTTGGATTCTGCCTCTAAGATGCACATTCAAGAGATTTTTTTAAAGAGATACGACATGAGGAGACAGGTACCTTGTGGAGTTCACTTCCTGGTGTGGAGGCCGCGGGGGCAGACTTCATGCCTTCCAGGGGTCCGTGTCAACAACAAAGTGGAAGAGTCTGGGCTGTCCGGCAGCTACAGAGTTGTTTAATGTGGCTAAAGATTTGTGGAGTAGGAAATGAAAAGGAGAAAACTGACGAAAAAACAAGGCGTCTTGAATATCACAGACTTGATCCAAATCTTGCTGCCACTTACCAGCTGTGCCCTTGAATGAATTATATGCCCTCTAGAGCCTAAGTATCATTATCTTTAAAATGGTCATTGTCCAGGGTCACTCGGGGCCTCTGAAAGCAAAGATTCTCTTGGTGCCAGGATTCTCCAGGGACTTCTGCTGGTGTGTTTTGTCTCTAGATTATCAGGTCAGTGATGCTGAAAATTATGGGTAAAATTATGTTAATTCATAAAGTGGCTAGACGATAAAACACAGAGATATAACACTAATAACAGAGACAGCAAAGTCAACTAACAAAGGGCAATCTTTCCCATATGTATCACCAGGCCCAAGGACATTACTGTCAGGCAGAACATCATAACTGATGCTATAAACAATGACCTTTAGTTGCCAAAGATTAAATTATAGCCCATATACTGTGATTATGGCAGAGAAGTAGTACATTTTTTGTACATTTCCATCAAAAGTGGTTCCAATGAAAACATTTTGGTGTTTAAAGGCTAAGTGTCAGGAGGGGGAATAGGTGAGGAAGACAGGGTAAAGGGGGTCAAATATGTGGTGACAGAAAGAAATCTAACTATGGAAGGTTAACACACACTGTAAATATATATATGCCTTACTGTTAAAGTATACAGCTGAAGCTTATTGGATTTCGTTAACCAATGTCGCCATAAAAAATAAAAAAATAAATCACACCTCAAATAAATAAATAAATAAATACATACATACATACATACATACTAAGTGCCTGTTATCTGGAAAATACCTTTTCATGGAACAGATTATTTCCTGATGATGTCAGAAAGTGAGATATAACTGATAAAATATCCGAATATGAGAAAACACTATGGGCAAAAATGATTTCATTTGAAAATTGGCTGGAATACCTAGAATTCTTCACAGACGCTCTCAGAAGCCTAGGAGCTCCCAAGTGCCATTTGTGAACTTTAAGAAATATACTCTTTCCTGTGTTAAGTCCTCATTACCTAGGAATAATGCCTAATAAAGTCACAAGAAAACCAGCAAGCTGGCCTTAAATAACTCTCTTTTTCCCAAATATCCTTTCACCTGATACCAGGTGGGGAAGCATTTTTCTGAGTTTTTCAGTTGTTACATTGCTACCTATGTATTGCTTCAAACTCCTTTTCAAGTTTATATTTCCTATTCCTGCCTCCTAAATATGGTTATTTCGGAAGTGTAGGCCTTGGCCTTCTGCTCTTCTCTATAAATACTTTCTCCTGTGGAAAAATCATATACACTGATTATTTAAACTGTTTTTGCTTTATGGATGACTCACACATTTACATATTTAGGCATAGCCTCTCTTTCTTCAGCTTTAGGTCTGTATTTCTAATAACCCTCTAAAATTTTCCTTTTGGATAGTTCATTATCTCAAATACTACACATCTTTTTGAGCTCTGAGCTCCCTTTTGCTTTAAAACCAACTCAATTGCTCAGGCCTAAGGAACTGCAGTTCTTCCTGATTCCTCCTCATTCTTTTCTCCCATCATCCACTCAGTTACTAAGGATAGCAGTACTCAATTATTGTAACCTTGGTCCTCTGTTCTCACCTTTACGACCCAACACCAAGACTATCGATGTCTGCCCATCCATACTACCCTGTGCACTTCAGCTAGGTTGTTTCTAAAACATGGCTTGGAACAGTCATAGCTCCGTCATTCATTCCACAAACATTTACTGAGTGCTTACTTTATGCAAAGCACTGTTACACTCTCCAGGTTGTAGAAATGAATCAGATAAAGGTCTGTTTGTCGTCTAACGGGGGCGGAGGGTTGGGGGATGGAGGAGACTAGTACCTAAATAATTTTAGTTCTCAGTTAGAAAGTGGTAATAACTGAATGAATACATGAAGTTATTAGAGCTATGGGCGAAGGGGGAATGGAAAGGGAACAGTAGAAAATAAAGTTAGGGTTTTGAATCCGAGTTAACACATTTGGCCTTTAATCTACAGGCAACAGGGAGCCAGTGAAGATTCTGGATCAGAACTGTGCTTGCGGATGACCAAACCTATAGTGGCTGCACGTAAGATGGGCTGATAGGGGAGTGGTGCCAGAGGAAGGGCATCAGTGAGAAAGGTACCGCGTTTCGACCGGAACTCCGATTAGTGGGTCAGGATTACTGCAGGGGTAGAACCGACAGAACTTGGCAAGTGATGGGCGCAAGAAAGAAAATAAATGCCGTCAAATGTAGACAACGCGTCCATGCTGTGGACTGGTGGCAGTATTAACAAAAACGGGTGCACGTTCCAAGCTGTTTTTTGGATATTCAGCCCGTATACAGTTGCCGAACACTCGAGAAGACATGGCCCAGACTCTCGGGGGGAGCTGGGTACTGATGACCTCAGCTGGAGCAGAGAGGGGGTGTGTTTCGGGAGAAACACGTGCAAAACGGACTCCGGGACCCTGGCTACCGAGGCCCGCCCTGGCTGCAGCGAAGGTGCAGCGTCGCTGGCGGAACCCGCTCGCGCCTGCTCCTCAGCGCCTGCTGTCGCCTCGGGCTCCCCACGGACTCAGGCAGCAGCCTTTCCCTCCCTTCTCCGCGTATTTCCAGAGCTTCCGTCCCTACCCGTCACCGGCTCCCGGTCAAGGAATCGTGACACACGGTGACGCCTTTTCCTGCACAGGTACCAGGCTGACAGGAAGCGCGCGGAGGGCAGCGCCTCGTTCGGCCGGGCACCGCCGCCTGCGCCGCAGAAGATGCGCCTCGCGCCGAGCCCTAGGTATCGCGAGACGCGAACGCCCGCCTGGGCTCGGCTCGCCGGAAGCGGAAGTCGGGCGGCTGTCGGATTCTGACAGAAGTGGCTCCGTTACCTTGGAGAGGTGCGGTGCTTGGGCGCTGGGCTGACCGCGTCGCGCGCCCCAGGTAGATTTCCTGCGTGTCTGGCCGCCGGAGCTCGGCCGGAGCTGAGCAGGCTCAGCGCTTGGTAGGTGAGTTGCCCGTTGGGGCGACGCAGAGGAGGGAGCCTGGCGGGCCAAGCCGAGTCCTCGGTCTGCGGTTCCAGGTCCCGGTGCTTCCGCGAGACCGGAGCCGCTTGGCCCTCGCGGCCTCTAGTTTCCTTCGCCTCTGGAGAGCCGAAGTGCTTCGAGACGGAGGGGATCTGTCCTTGGTAGACCGGCTCTGACGCGCAGTGGCCTCCAGTCCTTATCTTCCTCTGTCCCACGGCTTCGCCTCCGGGGCCGCGAAAGCGCATTCTCGTTAGTCATTTCCAAGGTTAGTCGGCCGCAGCCCAAGCGCTCTGTGGCTTTATTTCTGGATGATAAACTACTGATGTTCGAGTACAGATCCGAAAGGCTGTGCCCCGTTTCCCCGGCAGAAAGTAATAAACCCTGTGCAGTTATTATTCGTGCTGGAACTAGCTTACTGGTTTTGAAGGCCCAGAGGACGAGTCTTCTTAGCATCTTCTTGCTCTTCGCTGGCACTTTGGGTTCTAGTTCCCTCTTTCGAATTAGCGTTAGAAGTCTTTAGAGCACCTTTAATGCGACCCTTTCATTAACTTTAGACCTTATGGTCCCTACCCTTCTCGCCTTTGAGGGTTTTCTTCAGAGAGTCAAGTTTTTTTTTTTTCCCTCCCACAGATCTAGACAACCTAAACATTAAACAGTACAGCCTCAAATCCCTGTAATTAGTAAAGCTTGGATCAATTCCATTTATTTTGATTAAATTTATTGGGGTAACATGGGTTAATAACATATTTACATTTCATTCTGATGAGTAATGATAAAGTTGACATTTGTTTACTTGTGGGAGGGAGTTGTGGGAGAACATAAAAATAGAATAGAACATTTGCCTTGTCTTCTGATTTTTACTATCTGGTTAGGGATGGGCCTTCTTTCTGGTGATTTCTGTGATTCCAGAAACCCAGGCATGATTTTAATGAGCTGAATTTAAATCATACCTTGGATCTGAGAATTTGACAGCAGTTTGCCAATCCCAGACCCATGAAAAGTCTGGCATTTAATAAGCCATGCTCTCTAAGAGAGCAGTAGCGGAAAGGTAAGATGTCTAGATATTGTTTCTTGCATCCGAACCATAATCTTGGTTTGATTGTGTTGGGATGAGGGTAGTATTATAAATGTTACAAATATTTGCACATGTTTTGAGGGATTTGGAGGAAAGTCGAACTAATGAAGAAGCTATCTTCCAATATCATATCTGTTTGTCAAGAACTTTTTATTAAAAATTGAAGTATTACAGGAAGGATAATTTGGGGATGTCAGATAAGAGAGAGAGATTTTGTTTTCAAGTTTTAGCGCTTTGTCATATATACCCCCAAATCATAAAACAAGTTTTAGGAGGCTTGACGTAAAGAGCAAAAATATGAGTTTGGGTTATGAAAGGTAAGGGATGGAAATACTGATCAGTGTTTGGTTTGGGAAGGCTGGGAAATGGGGAAGACTGCTAGGGCTGGCTTCCAGGTTTGGGGTGAAAACTAAAAGAAGTAAACTCTTTTTGTCTCCTGGTTTCTCAAGGATTAGGCCTCTGCAGCCTAAGCTAAATCTTTTTGTAGAGGCAGAGGGCTCTCTAAGAATATGAGTGAATACTACTTGTTGGGTGAAGCCGTGACTGAGCCTGGAAAACCCAGTTGATACAATTTGTTTTTATAGCCATCAGGTTGTATCAACAGTAGTTATTTTTCATTTGTCACAGAATCTGGAATAAGAATACATTGGATATTATTGTTACTCTAGACTTTAGCAGCTGTGCATTTAATTACCTATTTTCATGTCTCTCCTTAATTTTCAGGGGTTTTTTGTTTGTTTGTTAGTTTTGGCTCTTTCTTCTTTTCCTTTAAACAACTTCAGGTTTTTATCCTGGGAAAAATAAGGGATAGTCTTCCAGTAACCCCTTAACTACTGCCCTTTTTTTCTCCTATTTTCAGCCAAGCTTCTTGAAAGCCTCTTCTATAATCAGTGATTTCTACTTCCTTTCAGTTACTTCTCAATTAATTGTAATCCTGCTTCAATCCTTTCTACTCTAAAATAATCACTTCCTAATGGCTAAATCCAGTTAATTTTCTCTTGGTTCTTTCTGTCACTGTACTGTTCAATACTAATGACTATTCACTCTTTATTCTCTTGCCTTCTCTGATAACCTCTTCTGGTTTTTGTCTATTGGTGTGTCTTATCTAGGTGTGTTCTCCTATCCCTTCTTTATCTTCAGCTGTCAATGTTCTCCAGGATTCTGTTCCTTGATACTCTTATTCCAGTTTTCCGGAGGAATCTCCTCCTTTCACACAGCATTAACCACAAACAAATTTGCTGATGTCTTCCACATTCATCTTCAACCCTCTTCTCAGTTCCAACTAGTTAACAGCGAACTGGCTCTCCATGTGGATGTACATGCTGTAACTAACTTCAAACTCAGTGCATGCTTGCCCACCTTTCTGTAGTTTCTATGGCACCATAACCTGTCCAATCATTTGGCCAGAAGCCTGGGAGTTATCCTTTATTTCCTTCTCTCCTCCCAGCATCTAGTCAGTGATTAATTCCTCCTGGAATTCTTTTAAAACCATTCTCACAGTCACTGCCTCAGATCAAGCCCTCGGCATGTCACATACATTACTGTAGTAACCTGCTCTGAGTCTAATCTCACTAATCTACCCTTTTAGAGGAGTGATCCTTCTAAGTAGGAAATTTACTCAAGACTTCCCTACTTAAATTCATCATTCCCCATTGCGTACCAGAAACGTGCAATGTTGTCGCATGGAATGCAAAGTTTTTCACAATATGACCCCTGTCTACTTTTCCCGTTTCTTGACATTCATTTCTCCTCTTTTAATATTTATACCATATTTGTCTCTTCTACTAGACTGAGAGCTCTTTGGGGGCAGCATATATTGTTCATCCTTGTATCCCAAGCCCCTAGTTAGCACAATGCCTATGTTACGGTAATTAAGAAATACTGAATGTATAAAATCTAAAGTATAAAAGTACACATGAGGCTTTTATGAATACTCTGTCTGAAATTGTTTACTTTGTTTTTTTTTTTACTATCTAGTAAGACAGCGTTAATTCTAATAGAAACATATTAAAAACTACAGAATTTCAGAATGACTGACACTTCTGAAGCTGTTCCAAATTTTGAAGAAATGTTTGCCAGTAGATTCACAGAAGATGACAAAGAGTACCAGGAATACCTAAAACGCCCTCCCGAGTCCCCTCCAATTGTCGAGGAATGGAATAGCAGAGCTGGTGGGAACCAAAGAAATAGAGGCAATCGGTATGTACTACTTCAGAATGACCTCAGATGGCTCATCAGCAGAGGATAGCTCTAATCTGAAGACCACTGAGGGCAGGCACCAATGTTTTTGTTCAGTATGGTATACCGAATGCCTAGAAACAGTGCCTGGCTCTAAGTAAGCGGCTGATAAATACTTGCTTTAATATCTGGTTAACAACATGTATTTTTTTTTTTTACCGTTCTGTTGTATGTCTGCGGTGTATGGGTGTTAATTTTTTTTTTTTAATGTTCTGTGGACTAATATTTTCTTTGCAAATATACTTTTAAAACTGAGTCTTCTACGAAACTGTGTTAAATTCCATAAAGAAGGTAATGTTTTTATTTCTCCTTTAGAAAGTTTATACAATGGAAATTACTTATATTTAATAATTCAAAATAGATAATGGAATAAAATTACCACATTGCTTTTGTATAACTGAATAAGTTTCAGTTCAATTCAGAACTATCTGACATTTTTGGGTTTGGTGTTGCAGTCCGCCCACTTCTCTGCAAAGTGTGTCCAATACATTACTGGAAGAATGATTTAAATCCTAGGAGCGTTTTGAATAAAGGATGCTATGACATTCCGTGGAGAAAAATGTGTTTTACTCTCTTGTTACTAAGTATTAGATTGAGAACAAATGCACCAAGGATCGATCTGCCATGTGTTTTCTTATAAGGGAAGTATAAAAATCTTTTTATTTTGTTGTTTTAGGTTGCAAGATAACAGACAGTTTAGAGGTAGAGATAGCAGACGGGGATGGCCAAGTGACAATCGATCCAATCAATGGCATGGACGACCTTGGGGTAATAATTACCCACAGCACAGACAAGAACCTTACTACCACCAACAGTATGGACACTATGGTTACAACCAACGGCCTCCCTATGGTTATTACTGATAAAAATGTCAGCAGCTTTTAGTAAAACCATTTACTTTCTTAACAAGAGTTTGTGTGTATCTTCTGTTGGCCATAATTTTACATCTGGTTTAGAGAATGGATTATTTTTTGGCACTTGAGACTTTTTTAAAAAAAATTAGATCTTACTAGAGAGATACGATGGTTGCTGGGAATAAATACTCTCCTAAAAATGTTCTAGATTATATTGCTTGACTTCTACCTCAGGTTCTTCTTTGTTTCATGACTTAATAGTGCTTTGAACTATTTTTTTTCCTCGTTTGACCTCTAGGAGTTTTCTTTATTTTACACAGAAATGAAATAGATATTTTAAAGTAGAAAATGCTTGCTTTTACATTGTAATTAATATAAGGAAGTATCCACATATTCGTGCTCATTTCTAAAATTTTACAGAGGTTGGTAAAATCAACTTGTGAATGCACAACTATTCTAAGTTGTAATGTATTGTACATAACAGCAGTTGGGAGGTAAAACAATTGTTTCTTTTGGCTCTTATTGTTATGTGACTGTGGTACTTTGTAATTACTCTATAGGTATGAATGAGCTCCACAATTATTTTGGTCTCTTTTTTTAGAGGAATATCAAGAATAAAGCTGTAAAATGAGGAAGGAATCATTCTCAGTTTCAGTGTCTTGATCTAATGGTGGGTTAGATTAAGGCACACAATCATTTTATACAAACTCTAAGGCATTATGCTAACTTAAACATAGTAGGTCAAAATTCATGTTATATAGAAGTATGAACAAAACTGTAATGTTCCCCTTTCCTTTTCAATCATGTGTAAATAATGGTATATTTCGACTCTGCTTATTTTTATGGTATTTAATGTAGGTTGAGTTTACAATGTTATGTTCACTTAAAAACGAGCAACTTTGCTTCTTCCTCTTCTATAAATACGGTGATGCTATAACTTCCTTTCAGAGTGATAATTATATTCCAAATACTTTTGGTGGCCATTACAATGGTTTTATTCAAATAAAATACAACATTAAGCAATTTCTCAAGTGTTGGCAGTTAACTAATTCATTAACTGGTTTATTATTACTCCGTCCTTCATATCCATTGAAGGAGGTTTGGTTTAAGAGTAAACATGAGTACAAGTTTCATCATAGGTCAAAGGAATCAAAAGGCAACTTTCTAAACCTGCCTTCTACTGCCTTCTCTCTCAGCACTCCATTCTAGGCCCTTGAGGTTGACGTCTCCAGGTACCACTTCTCCATGCTCTGGATTCAACTTCCCCTCTTCCCCCCTTCCTGAAGAGCCATTCTTTCAGATAACTCTTTTACTGGAAGGGATTTAATAAACCAAGTATTCACACTCAGATGTAAATAAAGATAAAGAGTTTTCCCTGTACCTCTCTATCAATAGGCAACAAGCCAGGGCTGTTACGTAAAGATACGTCTTATTACTACAGATATTTAGCCTAAGCGTTAACAATGGCCTGAGTATACCCCAAGGTCTTCGAAAGCAGATGGGTTATTAAAAATACCAACTGATAAAACCTAGGTACTACCAATTGGGACAGTAGCTGACCACAGCTTTAAAGCAGGATACTGGAGACTCTCTGCTGTGCCTGCTGTCGACACTAATTGTGGACAGCAATTATGGGTATACCACAGCTTTAAAGCAGCATACTGGAGACTCTCTGCTGTCGACACTAATTGTGGACAGCAATTATGGGTCCACGGGGCAGGGCTGGAGTGAGGGGTGCCCCTCAGGAAGCTCAGAAGAATGGTGACTTTCCAACAGTATTTAAATATTTTAACACCAATATGCTAGGGTACATATGCCCTGACTACCAGCCCTGCTTGAAAATATATTGAGTCCTCCTTTTAACATGAGTTATTTCTGAATTCTACATGAGTGATCTATGGCTGGTGGTGGTGGGGTTTTTTTTGTTCGTTTTTTAAAATAGTAGTCACTATCAGACTGCCCGCTATGTGCTCAAAACTGGGAAGAAATAAAAGGAACAGTTTCTACTTCATGCAAACAGACAGAAAATAACATTAAAAAATTTTAATAATAAGAGAATTAAAGTAGTGTCAAATGGAATTATCTCAAATAGACTGTTGTAAGAGCATACTGCATTAAGCATAAGGAGTCCTGGCTTCTAGTCCTGTCCTCACAAGGTACGTGACCTTGAGAAAATCAGTTAAACTCTGAGCTTATTTGCTCACATGTAAAAATGGGGACATTATCTGCCACTCTCACAGTATTATAAAAATAAATGACCAAACATATAAGAGCGTAAGACTAGAAACTAGAGCTTGTGACCATTAAAACCCCAGTGGCACGTAACTGGTGCTGCATAAACATTTGCTGAATCGATGAGAGGGAAGTAACTGGTAAACTAAAGCACAGAGTTGATACCAAGGATGCAGAGTAACTGATGCAGGATGAGGGAAGATCTGCGATTGTTTTCTTATGTGAATTAATATGCGAATTAGCAAAAGAAATTACATCCTTCAGAAAATGACAAACACTTCAAATATGGGAGAAAGTTTATAAGACTGGAGCTAAAATTAGGAGCATTTACTCTGTGGTAGCTGGCACTGACTTGAAAATACTGAATGTTGGTCAGATTGATATTTTTGTAATTGAGGTAAAATTGACATTTAACATTTGTTTCAGACACACGACAATGACTTGACACTTGTATACACTGAAATGATCACACGAGAAGTCGTTACCATCACAGATTGATGTCGTTTTCAGACCCGCTTGCTGGAGAACTTAGACTTTGAGTGGTAGGAGGATTTGTGGTTATCCAGAGTGTAATAACTGAGTCACTGCTCTGAGGACAGGTGTTGAATTCTTGACACCATATAGGAAAAAGATAACTGGTAAGACTTCGAGCCTGGTTTGGGTTTCCAAAGCTACACTCCTTATAACTCTCAATAGACAAGGATGTAATTTTCCCTTTGTATTTATTTGCCTGAAGTAAAATATAGGACTTTGACAGAGTTGAGAAGAATGCAATGTCAGCTTTAAGTTTAGAATACTAGAAGGGAAGGGAATGACCTGCCCTGACGGCCACTGATACGCTAATTTTGAGCTCTAGTGAAAGCACTACACTTTGTTTCTAAATATGACTTTTTAATACCTTAAAATTGCCCCAACTTTCTGTCGTTTCATTCATTCAACCCACACACAGATTAGGTTGTGTATGGAAATCTATGCTCGCACCTTTGACTTCTTTTAATTAGCATTTTGGTTTATAGTGAAGGGAGATTTTTTTTCATTAGGAAATGTAGGAAATAAACACTCCCAGCTTGAGGAACCTTGTAGTACCACTGGATAACTTCAATTAGCTGAAAATGTTATTAGTAAAAGCACTTACTTAAGTAATGTCAGACAAATTAAGGTATTATATATAAACTATTCACTGAAAACCTTATTTGGGATTTTTTCTTTCAAATAGCATGTTTTTCAACCAAAGGGACATTTAAGATTTTATACACACACACATTTTTATATATAAATGAGGATTTCAAAATGTCAAATAGGCTTTGGCTAATTCTGTTTGAAAAACCTAATTATATAGGTCACTCAGAGAATCTTTCCTCTACAAATTTAGAAAGGTATGCTTTTAAAATGTTTCTAGTTTTTAATTTAGAATGAATTAAAACCAACAGGAGTAAAATATTCTTGACATTGGTCGAAGTTAATGATGTTAATTTTTAGATTACTATATCAGGATTCAGATACACAGATGTGACTTTCTATAATATCTAAACAAAGGCTTTTCCTGGCTTCTGCTACATTAAATTACTATGGAGCCAAACCAAGAACTAGATGAAAGTAGTAGTTTATACTACTGGACTCCGAGGTAGCCTTGAAAGCAAATATTTCCTTCTTGCTAGAAGTCTGGTTTGACCTCTTTTGGTACCAGCTTATGGGGAAAATAGGAATGGGATCAGAGACCCCTCGATCTGTGGACCTTCTGGGGAGAATGGCCCTGGGCCACACTGGCTACTTGGGTCTCAAGCAATAAGAGCTACACCATATCAGGATAGGCCAGAGTTGAAGAGGAATTAACCAGCTGCTGTAGCACTGCTGAGGCCTCTGGGTGCCAGAGAAACATGCTCGTCTGAAGAGTTAGTCACCAGCGCTGTCAGACTGGAAAAGCAGAGATGAGCTGTGCATAATACCCTTCAGATTTTAAGATTTACAAGATGGTATGGGAGGAGCAAGTTTACAAGTCTTCCATCAGAATATGCGATTTGACTGCTCCCTTGCAGGATTAAGTGAAAGCATTTACGTTAATTAAGGACCCTTCACTAAGCTGGACTTTAACAGGCGCCTGGGTCACTGTCAGCGCTGTGTCCCCAGAAGTGGAGTGGGTTATCTCTGGGCTGACGGGTGCGAGTATAACTCACAAACCTTCCGCCAGTCTCCATGGGCTGATGGGCTAACTCAGCTGATGTTTTCATTCCTGTCCCTAAGGGTCACAGAGAGCCCCATGTATTAATTACCAGTTAGATTTTCTCTGGGTTTCAGATGAAACCCAGGGGATGATGTGAGGATGAGCTCTTGTTTTTTTCCATTGCCAATAACTTTAACTCCCTGAGGGATCTCCAGTGTCTTTATCTGAATTAGGTAAATCTGCTCTAATTGCAAAAAGCCAGACCTTTTTTGTGTTTCTCATTTTAAAATTCCCTTCACTATGTATTGTGTGTATATAAAATATTATAAAAAGTGAAACAATATAGATATGAATAATCTGCAGCCAACCAGTAATTATGGTCTGCTGTGTATGCATCTCTTTCCTCATGCCCGCGTAAATATATATATACATTTGACATACACATACATTTTTCTCTTACTGGTTTGATGATATTATATATAAAAATGCATAACACACATATATGTTTCTTATTCTTTGTTTATGCAACAGAATATAACAGACATCACTCCAGGTCAGTAGTTACAGATTAAAAACTAATGATTTAATTTTAATAACATAACATTCTATAGTACGGATTCTCCATTGACAATATTATTTTCCTATAGGTAGACACTGAGGTTGTTTCTCCCTTTTTGCCTCTAATAACGCTGCATTGCTTGTGTCCATATACCCTTTGGTACTTTTGTGTTCCGCTGGGTAGTCTCAAAAGTAGACTTGTTGGGTTAAAATGACTTGTATTTTTAATTTGAACAAATGCTGCCAATTTTTTAAAAAATGCTGTAGCAGTTCAGTCCTGTTCGCAACCTATGAATATACACGCGTCTCCCCTCTCCCACTTCAACTTTTTGTCTAGATGGCCATAGGCTTTTATATTTTAAATCCGAGAACTTTGCGAGGTTGTGTCTCATTGTGGATCCTTCTTCCAGTGTTTTACCTGGGACATTGCAACGCCTTTCGTTCTGGAAATTTGTTATTTCTCCAATATTTTCTTGATTACACCTTTGAATCCTCTTTTTCTGTTCCATTTCTTTGGTTCTCTTCCTTCAGGACTCCAATTATATGTGCGCTTTTCCCTTTTATCTGACTTCCACACCTGCCATTTTCTTCTCCTTTTCTTTCTTTCTGTCCCACCCTCTGGGGCTCATGCCATGTTTTCAGTGTCTTCTCTGTTGCTTGTTCCAACACGGCCTTAATTCTATGATGCTTTTCTTTTTTAGTTTTAAATTTGATTAGCCACATTTCAAGTACTCAACAGCCTCATGTGGCTAGCAGCACAGCTCTAGAAGGGGACAAAAGGCTTGTTGTTCTGTGGACTTGACTCGCTCTAATCCCCAAGGTTTCTCTGGGGAAATGTTAAAGGCTTGGAAACAATTTGAAAGCCACCGCAATACCAAAACCACATCATGGATGAGGAGATGAGTTTCATGCAGAAATGACCACAGAGTCTGTAACTTGTGCTGCAAAGTTTGGGGACTCCTCCCTGCACAAGCTCTAACAGCCAGGGGACTAGATGGCACGCAGCTAAAGTAGGATTATAAAATGCTGGAAATCATAAGGACTGAGGAAGGCCTGTGTGGGCAGGAGCAGGTCATCTTCTCGGAGCCAAGGTCTAACGGGTCTATCCCTGCAGCAGAAATGGGGCTCCAGACGGTGAAAGCTCCCTAACCCTGGCCCCTAATTTCCCTGGTTGATCCCCAGGTGTCCGAGCGGGCTTCGAATGATGGCCAGCTTCTTGAAGAGATTCCCCAAAGGGACAGAATGTGCTCACTAGAGGATCCCACTATACAGCCCAGTTGGCAGGCATGTCCTTCAAATTAATAAATTGGCATCTTGTTTAGAAACTAGTTCCTGTCAATTGTCTAGCTCAAGTCCATTTTCAAAAACAGTGACTAAAGGGGGGTTCTGCAGAGTTCAGGGAGGCACCTGGGCCCGTGCTGACTCCACCATGGCACTGACCCTGGACTCCTGAGTGCCCAGCTGGCCTGCATTTGTCCTGCACTCTGGCCTGAGCTAAACTCGGGGTACGAGGGGACTAAGCCTCACGAGTGTCTCTGAGAAGACAAGAAAGATCACTGGTATCAGGCACTGCAGGAGGGATACACCTACAGTACAGCTCAGCTCCTTCAAATTGTGTGGCTCTCGGCTTTCACATTATGTATGGTGCCATCTGCTGGATGTAAACTGAAAATCCAGCTTCTTAAAATTTTAAGTCTCTAGTCACGTGCATCAAAAAAAATCTGAAGTGAGGGCCCTGTGGGTTCCAAAATTTATATTCTGCATTACAATTAAGTAAGTACTTCAAAAAAAGTCCCTAGAATTTGTAAGGGGGGATGCCAGTAGCCCACAGCCCAGAGAAGAGCTGCTTCCTAAAGTCTGTGAGGTTTTAGCTGTTTGGAACTTCAAACACTGCAAAGGTACCACCTATAACCTCTGGTTCTCTCTCCATTCCCTAGCAGGCAATGGAGTGGGGAGTGGCCCACAGGCATCAGGAGTCCAGGTTCTCTGCTCCAGGGGCAAGATGAGCCCAGTTTTTCTTCCAAAGGTTCTGTCAATGTAGGCAAGGTACCTAACAGTGTTTAACCCAAGTTATTAATAAGTTATTCATAAATCATTTCTGCAGGAGTAACGATCATGCATTACAGTGCTAGAACATCACCATGATGCTATTCGCCAAAGCTGGAAAAGTACCTTTCAGACCTCATTCACTGGCTGCCTCAAGGCTGGACCCTCAGGACAGCACAGGACAAAAAAGGCCGTGTAATCGGCTTACTTTATGCACTGTGTGCTGGTATTCACTTAAAATGGGGTTGGGCTAGAATCATGTTATTAGACAAATAAATGTCTAGGACTTGGAGTTTTATGTCCTCAGCCCGAGGTCACTGGGCTTGCCTCAATATTCTTGGTCCCAAGCTGAAAAAAATTGCACTAACTACAATTCCACAGCAGGTCAACATGCCCAGGCCTTAGGTGTGATTGTCACTAGTGGGAAATATCTCTGTGTGGGGGCATTAGACGGCTAAAGGCTGTTTGCTGAGGAAAAAAGGGAAATCGGGTCCTCAAATAGAACTGGTGAGCTCGTTCCCACCTCCAGCAAGTTTCTGATGAGAACGTGTCCCTGGGTATGTCTTCTTAATTGAAAGATACTGTACGTTCTCAAAATAAACCTATTAGGCCAGAAAGTTCCTGTTAAAATATGGCCATTTAAAATGAAGTAGATAGATTATTTTAATGGATATTTGTTGACTGCTTCCAGTATCCACACCTTTCTCCATAGCTCTTCCCAGTTCTTATTTAGGAGCCTCTCTATTCGCTTCTGAGTAGGCTGACCTCAATCCGGCTCTGGGACGGGCTTTAACTACAGCCTCAAACAGCGAGGGTAATTCTCTTTTCCCTGGCGCTGGTTTAGCTAACTTGTGCTATAGCATGTCATTCCCTAAGAGCAGCTGGTTACAAACTGCGTGTGACCAAATCTGGGCTGAGATGTAGGAGAAGCTGATTGAGAGCTTCTGTGGAAAAGAATTCTCACAGTACTTCTGAGAGTACATTTTCCCTGCTGGAGGGGGTGATATGTAGATGTGAAGCCTGGAACAACTGCCATTTTCCTCTGTAAAGGAGCTAGGCCTGAGGATGAAGCTGGCCCTGCCAAAGACTCAGGAGAAGGAAAGAAAGTTGGTTCTTAAGGACAGCACTGGCCTGCTGACTCAGACTGATCCCTAAGTAAACCCTGCCTCTGGACTTTCCAGGTAAGTGAGCTAACAAATCCTTTTGCTGTTTAAGCCAGACAGAGTTGGGTTTCTGTTACTTGTCAGGGAAAGTATCCTAACAAACAGGGATCCATGTAAACACCACAAGTAAAATGCCTTTAAAGCACACACTGGAACAGAATAGGAAAAGTTCTTAAGCCAAGACCAGGAGAAACAAGAGTACATCTGAGGTAGTACGGCATCACGATTTGGAGAAAAGAGAGCTGAGCATAACCCACACTCTGCCCTTAATGTTTGCTGTGATCCCTGCTAAGCCACTAGCTTTTCTTTCCCTTGAGTCCAATCAACAGAATAATAGTTGTACGAGATGAGTGGTTCTCAGTTTTTGTTTTGTTTTTTTTAAGTTTTATTACTGGTCTTCCTTGCAGATTTTGTAGTTTTAAAGATTTTGTCTATCAATATGTTTTTCTCATGTGCTTAAGACAAAGCACAAAACAGCTCTTCTGATCAGCAAAGGTAATTAAATTATTGTTATTTACCTTACCAAATTACTATAATTTGCATTGAATATTTAAAAACAAGTTACTTATTATTTGCTCCTGAAGCTTTAACATAGATATGGTTCCTGATAGGGTTTTACAAATACTCAAAATAGCTTCCAGGTCCTCTTTCTTCTAAGGATCTTTGGAGATTCATAAGAACTACCAGATTTGATAATTGCAGTTACCATCCAAGGAAGAAAATAATTCAGTAACTTCTCAAAAATGATAATTAACATTAAATTACAGGCGTACCTTGGCGATACGGTAGGTTCAGTTCCAGACCCCCACAACAGAGCGAATACTGCAATAAAGCAAGTCACACGAATTTTTCAGTTTCCCAATGCATATAAAAGTTATGCTTATACTATCCTACAGTCTATTAAGTGTATAATAGCATTATGTCTAAAAGTACCTTAATTAAAAAGTACTTTATTGCTTAAAAAAAAAAAAAGAAAGAAAGAAAAGCTAACTATCATGTGAGCCTTCAGAGAGTCGTAATCTTTTTGCTGGTGGAGGGTCTGGCCTCAATGTCGATGGCTGCTGACTGATCAGGGTGGTGGTTGCTGAAGGCTGGGGCGGCTGTGGCAATTTCTTAAAATACGACGATGATGAAGTTTGCCTCATCAACTGACTCTTCCTTTCACGAATGATTTCTCTGTAGCACACGATGCTGTTTGACAGCATTTTACCCACAGTAGAACTTCTTTCAAAATTGGAGTCGATCCTCTCAAACCCTGCTGTTGCTTCATCAACTAAGTTTATGTAATATTCTAAATCCCTTGTTGTCATTTCAACGATCTTCACATCATCTTCACCAGGAGTAGACTCCATCTCCAGACACCATTTTCTCTGCTCATCCATAAGAAGCAACTCCTCATCTGTTAAAGATTTGTCATGAGATTGCAGCAATTCAGTCACATCCTCAGGTTCCACTTCTAATTCTAGTTCTCTTGCTATTTGCACCACATCTGCAGTGACTTCCTCCACTGAAGTCTTGAACCCCTCAAAGTCATTCATGAGGGTTGGAATCAGTTTCTTCCAAACTCCTGTTAATGTTGCTATTCTCACCTCTTCCCATGAATCACGAATGTTTTTAATGGCATCTAAAATGGTGAATCTCTTCCAGAAGGTTTTCAATTTACTTTGCCCAGATCCATCAGAGGGATCACTATCTATGGCAACGACGGCCTTACGAAATGTATTTCTTAAATAATAAGACTTGAAAGTCAAAATTACTCCTTGGCACATGGGCTGCAGAATGGATGCTGTGCTAGCAGGCATGAAAACGACGTCAATCTCGTTGTACATCTCCTTCAGAGCCCTTGGGTGAACAGGGGCATTGTCAATGAGCAGTAATATTTTAAAAGGAATCTTTTTTTCTGAGCAGTAGGTCTCAACAGTGGGCTTAAAGTATTCAGTAAACCATGTTGTAAACAGATGTGCTGTCATCCAGGCTTTGTTGTTGCATTTATAGAGCACAGGCAGAGTCGCCTTAGCATAATTCCTAAGGGCCCTAGGATTTTTGGAATGGTAAATGAGCATTGGCTTCAACTTAAAGTCACCAGCCGCATTAGCCCCTAACAAGAGAGTCAGCCTGTCCTTTGAAGCTTTGAAGCCAGGCATCGACTTCTCCTCTCTAGCTATGAAAGTCCGAGATGGCATCTTCTTCCAGTATAAGGCTGTTTCGTCTACATTGAAAATTTGTTGTTTAGTGTAGCCACCTACATTAATTATCTTAGCTAGACCTTCTGGGTAACTTGCTGCAGCTTCTACATCAGCACCTGCTGCTTCACCTTGCACTCTGATGTTATAGAGACAGCATCTTTCCTTAAATCTCACAAACCAACCCCTGCTGGCTTCAAACTTTTCTTCTGCAGCTCCCTCGCCCCTCTCGGCCTTCATAGAATTAAAGAGCGTTAGGGCCTTGCTCTGTATTAGGCTTTGGCTTAAAGGAATGTTGTGGCTGGTTTGATCTTCAATCCAGACCACTAAAACTTTCTCCATATCAGCAATAAGACTGTTTTGCTTTCTTATCATTCGTGTGTTCACTGGAGTCGCACTTTGAATTTCCTTCAAGAACTTTTCCTTGGCATTCACAACTTGGCTAACTGTTTGTCGCAAGAGGCCTAGCTTTCGGCCTATCTCGGCTTTCGACATTCCTTCCTCACTAAGCTTAATCATTTCCAGCTTCTGATTTAACGTGAGAGAAGTCCGACTCTTCCTTTCACTTGAACACCTAGAGGCCATTGTTAAGGCCACAGGGTTATTAACTGGCCTAACCTCACTATTGTTGTGTCTCAGGGAATAGGGAGGCCTGAGGAAAGGGAGAGAGATGGGGGAATGGCTAGTTGGTGGAGCAGTCAGAACATGCACGACATTTATCGATTAAGTTTACTGTTTTATATGGGCATGGTTCACGGCGCCCCAAACAATTACAATAGCAACATCAAAGATCACTGATCACAGATGACCATAACAAATATAATAATGAAAAAGTCTGAATATTCTGATAATACCAAAATGTGACGCAAAGACAAAGTAAGCAAACGCTGTTAGAAAAATGGTACCTATCGACTTGCTCCACACAGATGGCCACAGACCTCCAATTTGTAAAAAACACAATATCTGCAAGATGCAATAAAATGAGGTATGCTGTACATGTCTTGATTATTCGTACTTTTTCATAAAATGCTCCAGAGTTTTAAAAGGATGCAGAAAACACTTTTGCATATACGTAAGCATTTTAAAATATAAAGTAAGGTTACAAAGCAGTGTCAGGTTCTTTCCCTCGTAAACAGGATTAGAAGGTAATCTCTAGAATTCCAGAAGTCTTGTGGCAATTTTACCATTTTAATTTACAATCGGGATAAAGTTCATTCAACTAGGAGTCAAGGGGTGTGGGTTCTAGTTGTCCTCCTGCATGTTATGATCCTGAATAAGATTCTCAACTTCTGCTTATCAGAAGCCCCATCAAAAAAAAAAAAAAAAATGGGGCTGAATCAGGTCATCTTGAATACCCTTCCCAGCTTTGCTGTTTTGTAATGCAAGAAATCAGAATAACATGCTCTAAGCCATTTGGGGTCAGGGAGTTTAGAACTGATAATTAGTGTACAGTACCTTTAGAATTTTTACTTGAGACCTGTTCTTATTTAAATATATATGTACATAGTTTTTACATGTTCTTCTGCGCATTTAAATATATCTTCCTATTTAACAGCCTCTACATCATTAGCAATAAAAAAGTTTCTCAAGGATGTATGTTTTCATTTCTTACTTTTATTTTTTTTCAACTTGCTTTTCTAATTTCTCCAAGATCTCTTCTGGAGTTGTGGAGGCCAAAAGCTTCACCACTTTCTCACGAGATTTACCACCCTAGATTAAAAGGAAAAAATGGTGTCAGGACAACACACTAAACTTTCTAACACTGAGAGAGAGACTTCAGCTGCACGCATCGTAGCCACGTCCTCTTGAGCTCTCCTGGCAGCTTAGCTATCACTTTCTCCTGGCCATTCTGGTCTAACCAGAGACCATCTCTTAGATTCTACCTTACTACAAATTTTTACAACTCTCCAGGGTTTTTACCTTCAGACATCAATTTCTGTAATGATAAAAGTTGGACATTAATTTTGTTTTAATGAATATAGAAACCAGATATATAATACTCTGGTTTCCAGGAATTCTTTTCTTTAAAAGTGAAAATTATTTTTTTTAATCACCAAAACAAACATTGCAATTTTACATAAACTTTGTATAAAAGTAATTCCAAAATAGAGAATAAACTGTTATCCTCTATGCTATTACACATTTCTGAAAACTCCCCCCCGCCAAAAGCATCCATATACACAAGTGCAGTTATGCCACAAATACTAAAAACAACTTTGAAAATAATTTATTTTGAAACAAATCTTTTTAAAAAAGGTAAAATCTGAGCAGGGATTTATCTAGATGTGTAGAAGTTGCGCAGGTCAGAGAGTGGGGAGTGCCCTTTAGGCAAATGTCAGAGCACACGCAGTGGCAGAAAACCAGGAATGACCTGCTATAAGTAGGGGATGCTGGGGGACGTGGCCTGATCAGATGGGTTTTTAGAGGCAGCCCATTAATCAGCGAGTCTGAGTGGCAGCTGGAACCCGGACGGGAGCTGCGGAGTGCAGCGCTGGGGAACAAGCAGAGCTCTAAGAGACACAAAGAGGGCTGTGTCTCAGTCCCGCAGATTCTATTTCAGTGAGCCTCGCACGATGCCTAGGAAGCCGGGTTTTAGAAACCATTCCCAGGGGGCCCTGATGCCCACTCCCAGTGAAAACCAGTGGTACGAATGGCTTCAGATGTGCTCCTCCTCCTGAGCGAGGATGACATGGAGCACCAGAAATACCTGATAGACTCACAGATGGAGATGACCAACGAGATGAGCCATTTTAGATTGTTTAGTATGATGATGACTCAAAAGAAGACAGGAACAAAATTAACCTGACAGAGAAGGTACAGGAATGAATTTGGAGAGAAGAAAATACTGGAAATGGGGCAGTTGAGGAATGTAAGTACAGAGCGTGGATGGTCTGAATAAGAAGGAGTGAAAAAGACCAAATAGAAGTCACAGATTTTAACAGTTCAACGCAAGTGACAGAAAAAAACAACTAGTTTTTTAAATATTTGGAAAAGAAAAAAAAAAATCAATGTTTTTAAAATAATAACTGATGTGTAGTAATCAAAGATGTTTAAAGTGATAGAGTGAGAGAGATACTTACCTTATCCAAAACCACATCACTCTTCCTGAGTTCTAAGACCTTGGAAAGGTATCGACAGAGCTCAGCGTTAGCCTCTCCTTCCGATGGAGGTGCTGCAATAGCTACACTTACAGCTTCGGCTGTCACATCTGGAATGAAAACAGTGCGGAATCTATTCTTAAGGAGTTCTTTTTCTTCAAGTAAGGATATTTTGAAAGAGTTTGCATGTGCCTGGCACACAGTAGGTTTTCAATTAATAACTGCTGGATACAGAAATGGACGATTAAACTAATCGCACTTAAGGGAACATAAATATGATACATATGCCTCCACCATTACAGAAAAGAAACCCAGAGAAGACAATGAATATTTACCCCACCCCACTGACCAAGATGAGCCACTGAAAACTGCACTTGATCTGACAGGAAGTGCCCCAGGCAGGGAGGCAGGAGCTGGGGAGTAGCACCAGCAGTGTCGCCAGGGGAAGCTCGTATGGGGCAGCTCACTGGATTGTGCAGAAAGGTTCAGGGTTTCCTCACGGGGAAAATGAGAGCACTGGGCTAGATTCACCTCTTATGTGACATGCCTCTTTAACGTTGTCAAAATGTAATATTTACTTAATAAACATTTACATAACACACTGATTTTAAGGGCACACAAACATGTTTTAAGGACTTTACAAATATTAACTTGTTTAATCCTCACAACTTTATGAAGATATCAATACCAATATTATCTCTGTTTTACAAAAGAGGAAAACTGGAATCAAGATGTGCCCAAGGTCACATGGCTAGAAAGTGATATTGTGAATTAAAAGTAAATTTCTTCTGAATAGTGTGGTCCTGACTCCGCCATCAATACAACTTTTATAAAGAGCAGCCTGCTTGTTGTCCTCCACTGCTATTTCTGAGAGAAGTATTTGCTCAAAGCAGTTTCCAAATGAGCCTGAGCTGGTCCTACATCTGCTGTTACTCAAGCGTTTCCACACACTCACACCTTGCCTGTTTAAACAACCTGGCCACAGAATTCACAAGAATGAGCTAAACCAATCCTCCTCCCATCCTGTCACTGATTCTAAGGTGCACATTTTCTCATATTTTAGTTTCTGTGAAATCCAGATGCATCTTATAAAAGATGGAAATAAAGCATTTAATTGATAGACGTTGTCTTACCGATAATCTAAACTACACAAATTTCTATATGTGTCCTTTCTAAAATGCCATATTTTTTAAAAAAGGAAAATATACAATGGATTTTCCATCTAATTTGGTGTAGTAACATTAACATTCAACATCATACATTCACTTTCAAACACTAATTTTATACTTTTACATAGAATCTAGAACTTAAAAATGGAAAAGCTTGTACTGCAGATGGTAAAAATACACTTGACTATTAAGATAAACCTTCGTCTAACCAAGGAACGATGGAGGGGACACCTGATTCATACATGAATCCCACCCCAATGTCCAGATATACCTGTTATAGCATTTTGTTTAGAACCAGGTTTGGCATGGATGGCTATGGTGACACAACCTTTAGGATCAACTGCCACAGGACCTAAGGGAGGAAGTGGTCTCTCTGGCTCCTTGCTCTGGCTTTTACCCTAAAACGACAACAACAACCACACTACAACTTTACAAGTTACAAAAAATTTTCCCGCACATTTGATCCTTTCATTACTCCCTTTCACCCCTACCAAGTCTCATTAGGCTAATCGTCTGCATCCAGGGAATTCTGGCCACCTGGAATGTTTTCCAACATCCTCCACCGCTCAAATCAGTTCTTCCATGAAGCCTTCTCATCAACCCCACAGTGTTTTTTTCCTGCCTTAGAAGACCTGACTCTGGCTTCCACACCTTAGTGCTGGTTCCTATCGTACGCTTTGTATTTCCCATCCTGCAAGGGCAAAGGCCACTTATTCATCTTTGCATCTCATGCGGCACGAGCTAATAAATGTTTAGAATGACTAAGGTTGGAGACAGATAAGTGTGTGAATTTGGGAGTCAGGAAGGCACAGCACCAATATTTAACGGCCTACTATGTGACATAAGCTGTACTAAAACTTTCCATCAGCAAACATGAACTACAAAGGATCTGTAAAGGTAAGGATATATGGTCCTGGCCCTCAAAGAGCTGGGACTAGAGCCAGGGAGAAAGAACAAGTACTATTCTCGCACGCTGTGCTGACAGCGCCCACGAGGAAAGCAGTGCGGCCTGGGACCCGCCGGCAGGAGGCAGTGAGCGCGCCGCGTCTCAGAGGCCAGTAGACGTGAGGCCCGCGCAGTGGGAGTGGCGTGGTCTTGACAGAAGGGGTGTGATTGCCGATTCGAGTGGGAGCGCAGAACGGAACCCCTCGGGACACGCACCCGCCCAGGAGTGCGGGGGACGAGACCAGAGAGGTCAGCAGACGCAGCCCAGGGAGCAACCCGAGTAGGGGGCAGCCGGGGCCCCGAACCCACTGATCGCACCCCGCTTCTCTCCCGCGCCCAATGCGCCTCCCGCACCCAGCTGCCACAGACCTTGGTCGTCGCACCAGCCTTTTTTGGCATCTCGGTGCCCGCAGAGAGTCGGGCTGAGGCCCGAGCACCACGTCGCGCTCCGAGTGGCCTCAATCTGCAGCCGAGCCCCAGCATCCCCGCCAGGGAGGTGGCGGGGCAAACGGCCGGAGCCGGAAACGCCCTCTGCGCCTGCGCACGGGGCGGCGGAAGTGCCTCCGCGGCCTACATCTCGGCTCCGCTCCAAGAGCGACACCTACTGGCCGGCGGGAGCAAGACCCCGCGCCGGCCTCTCATCTTGGATAGGGGCTGAGGACAGAGCCACATGGGGAGCTGGGCTCCTCCCCGGATGGGAAGGACTAGGCGTGCAGAGCGCCAGGTGTCCTCTCGCTCCCGCAGCCAACCTGCAGATGTGGACAGAGCTCAGAGTAGATGTAGAGCCTCGTGCCGTCGATGGAGCACCTACCTTGTGCCAGGCGCTAGGGATCCCACAAGGAGAGGATAGCTGGTGTAGGAGAATAATTCGACTTCACTGCGAAGGAGTTAACTGGTATCTGGAGGGGCACATGACATTAAGACTTTAAAAAAACTGGATCGGAGTTAACCGTATTTGAATATTGATAGGAATAAGCCAGGAGGGAGCAGGTAACAAGAGACAGCGGTGGTAGGGTTCTGAGCACAACTGGAGACTGATCCTTCTACAGGGAGCCTTAGTCACACACCCTTTCCTTCATAAGTAATGGGACCGCCTAGGTGCACGTGTAGGTGTATTTACAGGTTTGGTGGGAGTGGCCGGACTTCCTTTCGTTTAAGGGAGGCAAGGTGTTGAAGGTGACAAAAGTGGACAGATTTAAATACTCAGGAGAACAGCAAAGACCTGGGTTACTGACTCTCACCTGGCTGTCCCTGTGGTCTAGTTGAACTTAAGAGACCATGAAATCATCCAGTCTATCTGTAATCATTTAAACAATTGGACTCAGTAGCCAGGAAGATAAGGTAGACAACTGGATTCATCCAGGTGGGTATGAGGGATCTGGGAGTTATTGATGAAGTGGTTAAAATGGCCAAAGATCAAAAGTGGAGAAGGAAAAAAAAAAGATCTAAGATGGAGTTTGATTAGGGAATGAGGAGGGTTGACAGGATACAGAAAGGTAGTTTTAAGGATCAATAACCGAGGCAATTGGAGCGCCAGCGAGAGCTGGAGCAGCATTGAGGGTCGTGGTCAGAGCTGGGTGTCTCGGTGCACTATTTCAGAGGCAGTGCAATACCACGTGATGACAAGGTGCGCGGTGTGGTCATGAGATGATACAGAATGATCAAGGTTACCAGAGATAAGTAAGTGGAAAGCTAGGTTTGGATGAGTCTACCCCACATGGACACTGAGGCCACAAAATGTGAAGGCTCTGGTAGAAAAATGTTAACCAGGTGTTAAACCAAAGCCTTATTTTGTTTGCAATCAGTTAAAAAAATGAGACACAAAAGCTGAATCAGCATTATATAGAATTTATGGAGCCATGACAGCCCCAATTAGAGCTCTGAAAGTTATGATGGAAATAAAGGGGCTCCTGCCATCGTAAATTATTAACACTATTTAGCAGTTGACTAGATGGGTGAAGATAAAAGAAAGGGAAGAGGTGCCTTGCAAAGAGCCATTCAGCCTTTCCCAAGAGTGAACCAGGGGTAGGGCTGGGGAGCCATCGGACCCATTTGCCACCCAAACTGTGCACCTGACTGGTTGTTCCTGCTCAAAACCTCTGCCTCTGGAGGGGAGACAGAGTGGGAAAAAATATTGCCCAGTAGTGTGGGGAAGAACAGGGGCTATGATCCAAATAGCAGAAAACCATTATTAATGTTTATAAACGTTTATACTGGTTCCTTTTATCTTCTTTCAGTTTATTTTATCCTTTTATCTTCTTTCAGTTCGTAGTAAAGTTCCATGTAAAAACTCCATCTTGTCTTAGCTTCGTCAATGGCGAAAAAGGAAAATGGATTTTTAAAGTGTACAAACGAGGCAGGACAGTCAATGAGCCTTGTAGCTCTGGGGCTGAAAGTGGGGATCACTGTGGCACCAGCCCCTCTTATGAAGGAATGCATGTCAAATTCAAGGGACAAATCCCAGGTTCTGAATCCAGAAGACTGTAACAGGGAAGCAGAAAGTGGTCTGAAGGAGATGGGACTAGAAAGGGAAGTGGAACAATAAAATTTAGACATATTGCATTTAACGTAAATGCATTCGAAGACCTGGCTCTAAGGTCCTACAAGCTTGTCCATTCCCAGGTAAACTTTTTCTCTAAAACTATAGTTACTACATATGCGAAACTAAAAGAAAGCTCAATTTGTTGGGAAGATACTGGAATAACTGTACTTTTAAAAAGTAAAACATATTTATATTATATAGTAAATATAAATTAGCCAGGTTAGCCAGGTATCTTCTGGGGTCTGATTGTAAAGGCTGAAAATGGTAACATGTTACTTTGGGATCCAGCAAAAAAAAATTTTTCCCAACTCTGTAGCTTGGGTTTAAATTCTCTCACCACTTACTGACATTTTCAACATGAATTTCTTTGCCTGTGCCACGGGTTTAACAGCACTGACCTCATAGCGATGCTGTGAGAAACAAATGAGATGGGTGGAAGGTCCTGAGTGCAGAGCCAGGCACACGGCGATCACTCCCGTAGCTATTACCGCTTCTAAACAGTGAGATGGTCGTCACGCTGCAACAGAGTGAATACCTCGTAGTCTTCCTTCTCTCACTTCCTGCAATTAGAATAAAGGAGAAAAACTCGAGACCACAAAAACCTGATCAAGAAACAGATGGCAGCAGTTGTGACTGCTGTCGTGCCGGTGACTTGCTTTATTTTACAGCAGCAGCAAGGCATTATTTCATGCTGTGTTTTCTGTAAATTAAAAAGTTACACCTCAATTAACTAGGACCCTTGTTCCAAAATGGCATCTCACACTCAACTTTTAGAAGAAAAAGACAAATGACAAAAAATTAAAAGGATTATAGATATTTATTTTTTAAAAAATTCCAGGAGATGTCCCATATCAGTAAAGAGTTCCGCTTCTTGTGCCTCTTACTGGTTGCCTTCAGTTACAATCATCGTTCAGTGCAACCTACTGCAAGCATTTGAAATACCTCAAATGTCAAAACACATTAACTTATCTCTAGCATACCATCCTTTTCAAAGCAGAAGTATTTTCCATAATGGCTACTACAAAGTGTTTGCTGACTAATCTTTAGTTAACCCAAACCATACATCCTACAGAGATTCCAGTTAAGTGAGGTTTAGACCCGTAAGGTCATGGTACTGGGGATAAAAAAATTTCCCTTTTCTTCAGCAATTTCAAGAGACCTCTGCCACCAACATACTTCACTACCTTCTTGTAAACAGAAAATGAAATACTTTAGATGAAAAAATTTTATATCCTAATTATTATTTAGAAAAAAATTCTGTTTAAGAATTGTGATTTTTTTAAAACCATCTTCCACAACTATTTGTACACCTTAAGCTTAATTACACGTTTTTATAAGATAATCACTTTCAAAAAATATTGATGTAAAAATTTTACTTTATAATAAAAAAGCATGTAAATATCATTCTGCCAGATACACTTCCTATCCCCCTCCTAATACAACTGTACCTATGACATTTGTGAGGTCGAGACTATTAAACCTATTTTCCTTCTTGAATAGAATTGTGCAAGTGATAGAAAGC